GCCCAGCTGTCGCTCCTGGAAATGTGTGTGATTTACTGATTTTTAGGCAAGGGTGCCACCTGGGTAATGTGTGCAGGAGTTACCTATTACAGGATTACCTCTTATTATCTTTGCATACTATCCAAAGAACAGTAGACTTTGTGCTATGAAGGGAAAATAAGTAGTAGTGAAAAAGGCTGGGACGCCATAGAGCTGCTGTGCCCGTGTGAAAATAGCTCAAGCTTCACCAAAACTGACCAATCACAGAGCCCTGCTCTGATGCTCCATAGCCTGTATTTGAAATGGCACATGCCCGGCTACAAATGAAAGCCATACACACAATTTAAACTGATCACGGAGATGCACGAACAAATATTTGTGCACTTACTCACCAGATGTTGTGCTGCTGTCAGCTGAGCAGAGTTAACACAGGTCTCATGATAGCAGTTATGGGCCCCATGCCTCATTCTTGTACACAGGCCTGCGTGAACCTTCAAACTTTGGATTGTGCACGTGATTGTTAGCATGCCATGGTCCCATCTCCCCATCACTCCACTGCTGGTGTACCTACTAACAACTTTCCAGCATCCTATACATTGAGCTTCTTTGTAGTTTCCTCTCCATCAGCTTCACTTAAGCATTTCCTGCCCTCTTCTTTAGACACACTCGGCCTATCCATTAACAGTTTTTTTTTTTATGAGCTGTGACTATCTTATGTGCTTATATATTATATGTGTAGAGCAGTAAATAATCAATAAAAGAACATGCACCTACATCCGTTTATCAGGATTATTATTATATGGCACACTGTGTTGCACAGCTGTACTGTGCTGTACTCAGACGGGTTTGTTTGATTGATGAAGCACCTCCCTAGTCTCCCATGTCTGTGATATCTCCCACACATGCGCACACACGTAAACTGCAAACACAGCGTTGCACCTCCCTTGTTAATAACCTCCCTGCCTTCTTTAGTTATTATTCAGCGTTCAGTTTGTGCAAACGGCACGTCACCGAAACCTGAAATTCTTCTCCGACTGAGTCACAGTACGAAGTACTGAAAGAACTGGTTTGTCACGGGAATCTTTTCGCTAACTTTCGTCCCATTTTTTTTTTTTACAGGTGTTACCTCTCTTTGCAACAATGTTTGATTGAAGATTTCTGAAAAAGGAAGAAATAACTTCCTCTTTCATCAGGTTTATCCACTCTGGTACTTCTAGTCAGTTCAGCCTGCACGGACCGATTTTCAGCACAAATATAAGTCTTTGCACATCTATCACATGAACTTTGCCCCACTTTTGGGTTGGTCCCTTTCCTTTAAAGCTTGGGAAAACCTGGGATTAGTGACAACCTCTGTCATCATTACTATCTCAGCGCCCAGCGTTTTCCCCCTGAAATAGGGCAGAGGTGATGGTCCCTCACCGGGGTCTGTCTAATTGAGCCCACAGGGAAAAGAATGCAGCAACAAACACTCGTGCTGCTTTGTTTTCATACAGGTGTGTGTAATATAGGTTCATTACTAACTTATTATAGACATGTTGTTTGAGACTATTTTTCAATCAAGTTAAAAAAACTTTGTTTATGTTTGAGCTTGGTGATTTTAGTGAAGTGGCTCCCCACAATCAATTTAAAGCCTTTCTGGATTTTTTCTTTTCTTTTATATGTTACAATCATCTCCTGCAGATGAAGCATTAACATGTTTTTCAAAGAATTAAACTTAAAGTTCATTCTTGACATAAAAAAACTCAATCATGCCACAAAATCTTCCTCAGATAAGCTTCCTTTAACTTTTTAACCACTCCCATATATAAAACAAGCTTTTCAACCAGTATATTTTCATGTTAATGTGTTTAAAAAAAAAATCTTACTCTAACAGCTAAATGTGGTATGATGGGGTTTTGTTTTTTTAAATTCCATTTTGCTGTGGGTTGTGCAGTTACCTGCTGGGGGTCATATGTGGGTGTTCCTGTGCTCCTCTGTGTGAAAGATGTGCTTCAGTGTGGCAAATCCAGTTAATCCTGAATTAATTCCATCACGACAGACGCTGAGACCGGTGGTGTAGGGGGGAGTGGGATTACTGGGAGTCCCTCTATAAGTGCAGAGTGCTGACCACAGAACTGATAATTGGGGTTGGCCACCATTGCTTAGGGATGACAAACAGATGGGAGACACCAGGATCAGCTTTGGCTACTTTCTGGTATCTGGTGACTGCTCGGCCACAAGGGGAGCTGGAGGAATCCAATCCATAAGAATGCTTTTCTTAGAGCTGTTTATTGCAAAACAGCAATGTTAAAACTCCTGAAAGTGGAGTGTTTAGACACCTGCGTCACATGCACTCTGCTCACACTCCATTATATCATTGGAATAAATAAATTCAGATCATTTTTTTTAGCGGGACTTTTGTGCACATCCCTTTTTTTTTTTCTTTTCTTTTTTTATGACCCATTACCCAGCCACTCTCAGCAGCCTTGAAAAATATTACCAAAGATGTTTTCTGGCCCTGCGTGGCACTCTCCTATCAGTATTCACATAAAGATTAGGTCAACGGCTGAAAGGACATGAATAAACACCAATAAAAGAGCGAACCGCCAAAGTGGACACATGTGATTTTTCTCTTTAAGTAACCATGGAGAGGGGCGGGTGGTGTTGTTGTAGTAAATGTAGTTGTTTTTTTTCTTTTATGACATAATGAACAAAGACTAAATCCATCTGTGTCACCTTATCACCGGATTGTATAAGGACCCGTGTTCTGACGTGGTTTATTCACCCACATCAGATTAGACTTCAGATGAGCCTGGATAAAGACCACTGCTAGATTCTGTAACCGTAGTCTGGCTGCTTATGGGGGGCGTGTGGATATGTGGGTGATTACACAGGTTAAGCAGACTGCTCTTCTTCTTGAGTGCTTGGGAGATGACAGAGAAGGGCACTAAGGGTTATTGATGCGTTTAGCAGCAGGAATAGAGCTTGGATGTGTTTTTCAGTCAAGAAAGACCCTCCACTGTGCTGTTCTTACTGTAGTAAATTAACCTGAAGGCAGTGAGTGCCCTCATCAAAGCACCAGAGGAGTTGATCCAGAGCTCTCAGTTTGATGTGGTAGCTATTCATGGAAACTGTGTTTTGTGAAGTGAACAACAGCTTTCACTCACATTCACAGTTGTTTGGAGGCCAAACAGGTTTTTGTAGCAGCCTTTAAAGTCGGGCATGGGGATTGACTTGCTTTTGTACCAACCTCATGTGGCCTCCAGAGGAGCTGCAGTTTTTGAGTTGACAATTGTCACTTAGATTTGAATTCACTGTGAGATTGTGGGTTTGCTCACTGGAGCGTGTGTGTGATGTTTCGCAGGTGTCCGGTCCTCTGTTGGTACCTGTGAGAGTGTTTTCTGGTGCATGTTGTGTGTTTAAATGATAACAGTCTGGACTTTTCATTCATCCTTTTGGTTTTCAGTGGTGGAAACGGAGCGCACTGTCCTTAAGTGTGACACGGGGTTTTTGTCCTTACTAAGTTACTAATTACTAAGTTGCTCAATCGATTCATGTTGTTGGCAACCTGTGACAAAATGACATGACACGTCACCTTGTTATTTTGGGGGGTTTGGAGTCAGCACCTGTGCTGCCACAGAGGAATGTCAGAGAAGGGTGACCGGGCCACTGCTGGGTGTGTGATCTCACCTGTGTGTGAATGTTTGGTGCTGTATGCCTTTCACATTATGAGGCATAGGTTGGTTGCCAAATGCAGTTCCTAGTTATTACTGTCATTATGAGCTAAAGGCAGGTAAATGGTGTGATTTGTGCTCTGATTACTCAGTGTGTGTTTTGTTGTGAGTGAGTGAGGTGGAATCCAAAAATAGTCTTTTACAGTTCAAATGAAATCTAGTGAGGTAACTCCTCTGTGCTGCGGTCACAGTGTGCACTTGCTTTTAGGAGTTTTTAGGAGTTTAGGAGGAAATGAAACACATCCAGCAAAGAAGAAGACGTTGAACTTTACCTCTTGGCACTAATGGATCTGCTATATTGTAACATGTGCAACTCTGGGGATGGTGTGACCCTCACATGGCTTGTTGCCTAATCTACAGGAACGCGTCACATGACATTTTGCTACATTACAATCATCACATGAAACACAAAAACACAACATGTTTCTCCAACAGAGCCAGCCCTGTTTGTAAAGGTCATTTTGTCACTTCACACATCACAGCACCCCGTGACCTGTAGCAGCTGTTTTCTGCTTTTTCTTAAGTCCGCCTTTATTTCCAGCTTCCACTCCTAATGCATAAACAAGCCAGTTTAAGCGGTGCAATGACTGAGTGTGAATGAAGCCTGATGAATGTGCGCGGCTCCTGTGGAGTTGGCCGAACAGAGTATAGACGCTCTCCTGTCATCCAGATTTTATACCTGAGACTGCTGGGAAAATGTTGCACAGCAGCTTTTTGTTTGTTTTTTTTTCACAACATCCCATAATTTTTGCAGTATGACTCCTCCAGGGTTTGAGTTGTTTGAATGATGATGCTGCCACCTTGTGGCGCGTCCGTGTCAGTTACATCACAGACTTTCATAAGCACTGTGTGGGAGTGGCGGTGCTTCACGTGGTCGTTAAGTAAAATCCTGACATAAGTGGCAGCGTTTTCAGGGCAGAAGTTCAGATGTTCACACATCCGCCTCCTCCTGATAGGCTGAGAAGATAAGAGAAAGTGACTGCTTCAAATCTCACTGCCATGTTTTTAGATTAAGTTACAGTGCTATGATTTTTTTTTTTTCTTTTATCATATCAGTTATCAAACTCCATTAAGCACATAGTGTCTGGTTAAACATTATCTTGTAAACTTATTCAATGATGACGAGCGTAAAAGCTTTTAAGATATGTATATATGCTCTCTACACTCACTGGCACTTCCATACATGCAAATAAAAGATTAAAGGAAAGCTAACCTATAAAAATGTGTTTTCAGGAGTCATTTAAAACAAATAACAGAGTCATCAGGAAGGCTGTTCCAAAATAAGGGTGCCACAACCTCAAATCCACGATGGCCTCTGGTTTTAATATCAGAGTGTGGGAGAGTCAGGAGACCCTGGTTAAAGGATCTCCTGCAAAAATGGGTGTGATGTGTGAACACTGGCTAGTTTTTGAAGTGCACCAACAAAAAAATATTCTCCACAGCATTACACCAGCATAAAAAGTGTATATCTGGTTACTGTTGCCTTACGATCAGCTCAGAACAGCCTGTCATTCTCCTCTGACCTGTGGGATCAACACCACACACAGAACTGCACTGCGTATTTGCTCTTTTTCAGCCCGGGAGATGGTCATGTGGGAAAATCCCAGCAGATCAGCAGTTTCTGAAGCACTCAGACCAGACCGTCTCGCACCAACAACCATGCCACATTCAAACTCACTGAGATCCATTTTCGTGCTCATTCTGAGGCTCGCGTTGAACCTCACTTGATTGTGTCTAAATGCATTAAGTTGCTACCGCGTGATTCGCTGATTAGATATTTGCATTAAAGAGCAGATGAGTATCTAATGAATCTGCTGGTGAGTGCATCACAATGGAAAAAGTGATGCACTCACAGACGAGATGAGAGTGATGTTTATAATCCTAGTGGTAGTTATGGTAGAACTAGTAGTAGTGGATAATACTGTTTTTGTTTTTTCACCTGCTGTAATGTTCCTCTGTGCCGTTTTCTCTCCTTGTCTTCTTCTGTAGGTGATCACCTGTTTCGGCCTCGCTGTGGTGTCGTGCCGCTACGTGGGCTTCGCCGTGGTTGCCTTGCTGGTGGAGATAAACTCAGTGTTCCTCCACATCAGGCAGATCCTGCGCATGGCCAACATGGCCGCGAGCACGCTGTACCGCGTCAACAGCATGATCAACCTGGGCACGTACGTGGTGTTCCGTATCAACACGCTGGCCTGGATGACCCGGTGGCTGGTGCTCAACAGGGACAAGGTGCCCCTTCTGGCCTACACGCTGGGCAGCGTGGGCATGGCCATCATGACGGCCATGAACATCGTCCTCTTCTGCCGCCTGCTCAGGAGCGACTTCTTAAAGAGCAGCACCCGGGAGGCCAAGAAAGAAAAGGAGATGTAGAGAGGAGGGGGAGGAAGGTGGAGGATTCAGAGGGGCACACGTTACTGTACATTAACACGCCGTGGCTGAGGTTCTGTACTGTCTGTACTGCAAGCATTTAAATACTCATAGCTGGAAAGACCGAGAGATCTGCACCTCCCTTACATTACAGGTACAAGCACTCCAAGTGTAATCAAACAGCCTCACCTCAGACCCATCTACCGATCAGCTGCAGTTTTTTCTCCCATATTTCAGTGCTTCATATAAACAAATCGAGGCCTTGTGAGACACCAAACGCCTTATTGTCACACGGCGTTTCAGCTCAATCGATCCTAAAATGTAGCTCGCGATAAGTGACAATGCACTGAGCCCCTCTAACGTCCATGTATGCAGCCAGCGGAAACAGAAACATAAATATAAAATAGCTCTCTTTACTTTGGAACAATAATCTCTTATTCATATATAGACGTATATCTCTATACATAGGATATATACACGTTATGCTGCTGTGAGTTTTATTTCTTCGGTGGGGGTGACGTCAGAGGTGAATGCCTTTCCCACCAAATCTCCTCAGCTAAAAACCGCCTGCTACCTCAGGGCTCGCACCAGTTCTTTGCCTCTTTCCAACACTCGCTATGCTGCCGGTGATTGGCAGCAAAAAAAAAAGAAACAAAAGTAATGTCTGCCTGTTGAATAAAGAAAATCAAGCAAATGCAAATCTTTGCTTAACGAAAGAATAATGACAACTGGGAGGCAACAACGTGTGTCTGTTTTGTCCTTTTACATTTAACCCTGATGCTTAACACAGCTCGTGCCCTTCAGTTCGGCCCACAAGGCGGGATCTTTGCGTCGGTAAACCTCAGAGGAACGAGGCAAAATCTCCACTGATGGCATCACTGTCCATGAGCGGGCAGCTGCGCTTTAAACTTGAACCCTGTGAAGTGAAAGGAAAACCTAAATGATGTAGATTAGTTGAGTAAACTCAATAATTAGAATAGTTATTAATATTTCAACAGTGCACCGTGGCGTGTGCGTCTGCAGTAGGAGCTTTCAGACAGGCAGGAAGTATCAGCACATTCCTACACCTCACCTCAGTGACCTCAGCTCAGCCAAGACCACCAGAGATGCTTTTACTTTGAAGGGTTTTTGTAGATCTTTGCCATCCTGCCTTTAGTTTTAAAGTCGCAGATGAGCGCGACAGAAAGCAGAGAAACCCCCGAGGTGGGCGGGAACAAACTGGTCTGAGAGCTGTGAATACAGCAGACTGTTATACACACAGCCTCTCCTTCCAGCTCAGCTCACAGCATTATAGCTCTTCTATGGCATGGAAATATAATTGATGCTATTTCGTTTTTTGCTTTTGATATTTTTGATGTTTTGCCTTTGTGTATAATCAGTGTTTGATTGATTTGTTGTATATCTTTGTAATTTATTTGTGCTATAAAAGACGAGTTTAAGGTGACACGGTGTTCACCGGGTTTTCCTGTCGCTGACATGATTGTGTTAAGACACGTTGTTAGAGGGTGGGAAGGCATTTTTTTTTGGCACTTTTTTTTTCTCCTTTCTTCACGTACAGTTTCCTCACAGTGTGTATGCTTGAATATGTTTATGTTCAAGCCGTGAAAAGCAGGCCTTCCAGCCCCAGTAACAATCACAGGGCACAGCAATAAAAAAACACTATTTGGGAGAAGACAAAGTTTGAGTTATTGTTTTTTTTGTTTGTTTTTTTTTATTAATTTTCTTTTGAATGTTAAATTTGCTTTTTTTAGGGCAGCTTTGTTGTTGGTAATTGAAGTTCTTTCTAACAAACAAGCTTTCACTCGTGAACTTGTTATGAATACGGCTGTAATGTTATCGAAATCGTACTTCTATGATATCATTTGTTCATCATTTTGCTGTGTGCTTTAATGAATTGTGACACGCCTTAGCAGCCAAGTTGTATTAATGACCTGATGATTTTTTTTTTTTCTTTTTAAAGCATTTGTAGCTCTGATCACCTGTATGGCTTTGATTTCCAAATGCGACTGTCCCCAGACCTTATGAGGTTAAATATTAAAAAATATTAAATATTGTGGTTCAATATTTGTGACTTGTCGGCATAACGAGAAAATATTTAGGCCAAGAGGCATTCTGAAGTCCACCAACTTTATCAAAACACACAAATTATAATTGCCCCATCAGTGTGCCCTTGTTTATTCATTCATGAAGTTTACTTTTTTCTTTCTTTCTTTCTGATGAAGTGATAACAGTGAAGATTGTTGACACTGCAGCTTCTCGAAGACTAATTGAAATACTGTGCTGCAGCAACTGAGACTAGTTTCAGTTTTGAAAGCAAAAATCATCCTCTGTCATCAGACTGTCGCATATAAATATAACGGTGTAAATATAACAGTTATTTTTTCAAGTTTTGTCAAAATTGTTTTGTAATTAAAATTGTGATATGTATGTTTACCTAACAGCGCTATTTGTTTTAATGTGTCGATTAAAATTAGTGAATAAAATCAAAGGAATGAGCGTTCTGTTTTAGTTTCTCTGCAGATTTTTGGATTAGCATCGGGGTTATAAAAGAAGAAGCCAGTTCGAGGTCCAGATCTGGAGCGTCCGACTCACTGTTAGTCATGGGTGACGTGACCCAGTTTGATCTCAGGTGGGCCCTACTAATCAAAGGCATTGTTCATATTAAAGAAACAAAAGGTCCGCGGAGGTGACACAAATGCTTTTGGGGTCAGGAAGGACATCCTGTCAAATATAACATGTGACACTCATCACTGTGGTGACCTCTTAAATCTATCTTCTTTTATTTTGAAAAACCAGAACTATTTTAACAGGGATTTTTTTTTGTCCATACTCTTCTGCTATTATAAGTGCATTAAAATGTACAGATCACAGTGAATCTACGAAAAGCACTAAAGGTTAGATAAGTTAACAAGTTTTAGAAAGAAATGCAAACAGCGTTTACTTCTTTATAGCCCAAACTAACTTTACACATGTTGTTACACAACATACATTCATGTTGTATGTTCTTCACTTAGTCCTACAGGGGACTGGAGACCTGACCCGGTGTGCTGCTGGGATAGGCTCCAGCTGTGCAACCACTACCCAGAACTCGAGAAGAGTAAAAATGTTGGACGAGTTCAAATTTTAGCAACCTTGGTCTCAAGGTCAAAATCAGAAAAATCTACTTTTCTGATGATCAGCTACGATTTTCAAATTTAGGCTATAGGTGCATCTACCAGGAAGCTGAGAGGGAGTGACAGTTGAGTTTTGGTTTTTTATTCTCCCTCCTGAAGGAGGGAGAATGTAATTGGATCTATGTGTTTGTCTGTCTCTTTGTTAGCACTCTGGCATCCACAGTTTTTAAGTTTTTAAATGTGTTAATTTTGAGTGATGCTAGATACCGGGGCTGATTTAATTTTGGTGAAAATCTGTTCAAGGTCACACCACTTGTGAAAATTTCTAAAAAAAAATCTATATTACCCACAATTTTTTCTGGATCGTCTTCAAACTTCAAAATATACTAGCGCTTGGGGGACATGAGTAGCTAGGCTGGCTAAGCATTTGACCTTGGCCTTCACTGTTAGAGCACAAGGTCAAAGTTCATATTGAAAAAAAAAGTTAAGAAGCCATATTGAGTAATAAGTTTTTCCCAGCTTATAGAAATCTAATCGTTTATTTGTGCCACTCTGCCTAGACCTCTTGCCCCTCCTTTGCCCCCCATGTAAAATTTTCTAGATCTGCCGCTGGTTATAGGTTAGGTCCTCTCCAAAACTTTAGAGCAATGCAATAATCACTGGGGGGCATAAGCACTTTCTTTGTTTGAAAGTAAAATTTAAAGTTTACTTTTTCAATACAAAATTATATGACTTCATAATGACACAAAATATTTATATACTACACTAGATTTCCATATTAACAATGCTGGCATGAGCATAAAGATCAAAGTTAGCATAGCCCTTATTCTTATTACTATTAACCTTGCATTCCTTGTCCTCTAAACGACTCCCTAAAGGTCCAAATGAGGTCCCCGGCCCTCATGTTGAGAACCACTGCAGCAGCCCTCTTGTCTCTCTGTCCACGGTGCTGGAATCATGCGCATCCTTTCATTAAAGTGCACAAAGCAAACACGCTTCGTGCACGCGAGGCTTTAAAGTTTCGCGTCTTCACACGCACGAGCTGCGCCTTGATCCTCCACAGAGTCGACTCGGAGCGGTGATGTGCCGCTCAGCCAATCAGCTGGCGGACTGACCCCGTCGTACGATGTTCTCGCGTGTTCTGGTCACGATGGCTTGTTTTCATCACCGTCTTCAACTCGCTGCTCATCCAGCAGCTCGATGACGCCTCAGTTGGTGGGAGCGGAGGAAAGGTGCGCACGTTAAGAAAAAAAATGGACTGCGCACTTTGCTCGTCGGTTTTCAAAGCAGCTTCATGTTCCTGCTGATGATGATCGACCCTGCAGATGTTGTAGCAGGGATTGTTTTTGGTGTCGGCGGATCGCGGTGCCATGCGTCGTTTTGCATTTTTACGCACCCATCCAGCCTCCTCCTCCTGCTCTTCTTCCTCTGATCAAACAGCGTCACATGCTGCTGAAAAGCACTTAAACGCTCCAGATAAAATGTCTGGGTGAATGCGGCAGCCCGCAGGATTTGGACCGACGCCGGAGGCCAGCATGCCCGGACCGGAGGACGTATTTATAACGCTAGCAAATCACATTTCTTCACATTTTGGTACTTAACGTCAATTTAAAGGTAAGCAGGGACACTTATATTATCTAATGAAATATAAGTCGAGGTTATCGGTCAGGCTTGATTTTTTTTTTTTTTTTTTTTTTGGTTATCAATGCCTTATTTATAGCTCCAGCATGACCTCAATTCCGAGCGTGCAATTCCCGCTGAAGACAAAGTTACGTGGAGCCGCTGGAGCTCCAAGGCTGTAATCTGAATTTCTAAGTTAGTGTCTGGCAGGAGTAAACGCAGATTCTCTCCCCTTCTCTCGTCTCTTTAGACTCAGCCATGGGCGATGAGAGGAGTTTGTCTCAGCAGATAGAGAGTGTGGAGAGGAGCATGGTGTTCCTCAGGAAGGAGCACCTCTCCATGCTCCATGGTCTTCACCTGGAGATCCTTTCCCTGCAGAAACGATGCACAGGTGAGCGGTTTTCAGCTGCTGTTGCTGCTGTTTTTGAAAGAAAAACCCTAAAAAACTCTACCTGACCCCTACTTCTACTGACGCTAAAAATATATTTAACCACATGGCCTTTAGAGAATCAGCAGGAGTACTTCCTGGCTTCTTAAACCTCCTAAGACCCGAACTCTTTCATGGCATGCATTTTTAATTTCTCTTTGCTATTTGGACTGATTGGGACATGATGAATGTAAAAACAAAGAATTACCAGATTTTTTTTTTATATATGATTTTTGCTTCTGAGAAAAATGAGATCCACATATGAGGACATTTGTTTTAAATTTCGATAGAACAGTGGCAGTATAATGTCCTTGTACGTGGATATCAGGCCCTTGTAGAGCCCTTGTAAATTTAGTATTTTGGTCTAGACAACCCAAAATGTGATGACCACATATGTGGAAGCCAGGTCCTAGGAGGTTAAATCAGTTTTTCCTCTTGGGTTTCTGCTATATGTTTACTTTAAATGACTTCTGTTACTTTATAGAATATAAGATGTGAGGATACACGATGTCTGAGTGTCCAAGGTGTGTTTAAAAAAAGAAAACCCCTCCCAAAAAAAGTACAGAGTGGACACTGGAAGGTACATTTGTAATGTACATTTTAATTTTTAATCGTTTGCGGTCTTATGAGTTCACATTTAATTGAAGAATCCTTTTGGCTAATCCTCTTTAGGCATTGCTGGTGTTCTGCAGCTCTTTATTAATCAGCTAAGACCAATCTAATTGACCTTTTACCCTCAGAGAAAGGATTTACTGAGATTTTGGAAAACAGCCTTCTTTGAATGGGGTTTTAACCTCACAATAAACCATCAGAAACTCTGATATTTTCATCCTGTCATTTCCCTGATTTCACTGAATTATAACATTTAATTTTTTTAAGGAGACACATCCACTGAGCTAAAGCCAGTGTGTGTGTGTGTGTGTGTGTGTGTGTGTGTGTGTGTGTCCTCATTGTTCTTCTAATGTGTGTCTGCAGCACCACTCAGTGCCAGACAATGCTTACATGATGATGTCATGCTACAATTCCTGTAGATTGCATTATTTCCTGTTTGGTGCCTAATGGATGGTGCCTTCTTCCATTTAATCAAGCAGCCAGATGCACATGACAACACACACACACACACACACACAGACACACACACACAGTCTGGTATTAGCCTTCTTGTGGAGATGTTTTTGTTTATTTCTGGCTAACCATCAACCCTGTTATAGTAATTCTAGCTTAAAAGCCTAAAATAGATCATCATTGGTTGGGACGTGAATCCTGTTATGTGAACAGTTTTTTGTCCCCAGTACACAACCAGCAGCACACATTAGTTAATTGACAGACACAGAAATACACGTGCTTTGTAATGAATCCATAGGTCCTATAGCTTTAGTAATCCATATGAAGAGGATTGCAGGGGGTGGAGGAGGATGGGGGAAGGGCTGGGTCCATTATTTTGTGTTTCTCCCGCACACATGTCACATCTGCTCAGTGCAGCTGCGTGTGGCAATGACACCACCAACAGAGAGAGAGCTGGCCTGCTCTTTGCCATCTCCTCCTCCTCCTTTCCTTTTGTTTCTGTGGGCTCTCCCACTGTAATGTGGGGCTCTTACAGATTGTTTATAGCAGTTTTTATTTATTTTTGGTCCACATGGAGCTTCAGTCATATTTCTGTCAGCTGCAAGGAAACGAGGCCAAACCTGCGTAAAGACAGTACAGTGCATTTCTGCCCCCAGAAGTACGTGTACACAAAAAAATCATCTTTCCTCAGCAGTTGGTGGCATCGGCCTGCTCTCCTCACTCCAGTTTGGTGTTGCCTTTAATTTCCACATTCCTCAGAGGTTTCTTTGGGATTGCACTCACTAAAAACAATACTTAGCAGCTCCTGTTGCTGCTGAGCATCTTTAAAGCTTCTCACGATGCCGTCGGGCCAGAGTGGAAAATCTGTTTAAAGGTTTTCCATGCAAATGTCTTTTTAAGGCAAAGATCAAACAGTCGTATGTATCTGAACAAGCGAGGAAAAGGAAAGGAGGAGAGCCGTTTGTGTGCGGAGCTGTCGCTTTTTCTTGTCCGTGGTCTTTGAATATTTGCTTGTCACGGATTAGTTAGTTTTCTTTGCTGAACGTTTTTATTTGTAACTTGAGGCAGTGAAGAACAGATAGGCTAATGCAGTTTGCAGGACTCAGAGGTGTACCCTGCCAGCTCACTAATAAAGCGTGGAAGGTTACTGCAAGGTTGGGCTGACAGTGTTGTTGTGCACGTTAGTTTAGCCTTTTTTCTTTTTTTTTTTCACTGTTCTCACCTCCAAGAGTTTCCTAATCAGCACATAAAGGCGCTTCTCTCTTCATGAGCTACAAGCTGCATCACTGTTTGTAAATGAGGTCTTCCCGTCTGGTCTAATGCGTTTTTTGTGCATCCCGGAAATGAGTTGCATTTGTCCTTCCAGATATCTTTCCGAACGTTCAAGGTTGAATCGACTAAACAAAAGCCTTGAACGCTCAGTCAGGCTGCAGGAGATAAGACTGACCTACAAAGTGTTGCACACGCTGGATGTTGCAATGTGCTGAGTGACTGATTTTCATTGTGTCAGGAATAATTCTTAGAATTACGCTTATTCTGTGCTCCCCGCTGCTAAATGAATTTCACGGAGTTTCAAGGCTCATGGAAGCTGTGAATGAGGGTGATAACTAGAAAATAAGATGCTTTCGAAGTCACTCACATTTGGGTGCAATCACTGAGTGTGCCTTTCTGGAGCTCCCCTTTTCTTTTTCACACCTACCTTCCTTCCTTCCTTCCTTAACTCCCCCCAACCCTCCACCCTCACACTCCCCCCATCTGTCTTTCTCTCTTCATGCCAGCTGCATGGGTGGGTGTGCTACAGTATGCTGACTGCAGAGGGAAGGAGAGAGGGTGTGACAGAGAGAGAAAGAGGAGAAGAAAGGCTAGGGATAACCAAGCCACATGCACATGATGGCACAGCCTGTTCTGTATGCACTGCAAATTCTTCCATCAAAAAAAAAGCCTGAAGTTCACTGCTCATAATTTCTGACTTAAATAAACTCGAATATCTCAAGAGAATAAGAGTTTTTCTGGTCACGGGGGAATTAAATGAAGCACCGCTCTCTGTGTTGTGGTGTGTGCAGAAAAAGGCTGAATGTGGAGATTTTCCTGCTGCAGTCAGGCTGCTGTGGATGACCGTCGAGATGACTGACAGGACCGACACAACCAGCAGTCTGCTCCTCTGCACTCACTTATATGCAGAAATATAGTCCAAAAATCACTGAACGACTGAATACTTCAGTCTGACACATTTGCTTAACATATCAGAAATGCTTTATTTTATCCATCTAAAAATATGCTGCATATCACACTGAGCATCTTTTAACATC